AAACGACGGTCAACCAACCCTGATTTTTACAAAATTCATCAAAAACAGAGACAAGTTACTATAAATAGCCCTGTTGGAAATGAGTTTCTTAAAAGGAAAAACCCATAGAATCAAAGTTGCAGAACATCAAATTTTGTGTTCAGTGAGTACCAACTAATTTAAAGTACGTCACTTACTCTGAACGAAATCGGCAATCTCCCAATGGTTAAAAATTGGTAATGAAGGTAAATCTTCAATCAATTAAAGAGTACATTTTCCGCTTTGATGCATTGTTTAGGAGTTATAGGAGAAAAATATTGTAAAAATCTGACTTTTTTCTCTGTAAAAAGTTTTCTCTTGGTAAAAAGTCTCCCCCCCCCCCCGTGTAAGTGATTTCGTTTTTTTACACGTCTAAACCCATATATACAAGCTAAAAAAATAGAAACTTTTTTCATATTTCGATCTTCAAATTGCTGGCCTAATATTCTTTAAATCAGCCGCCACTTTTGAAAGCAGCGTCCATGGAACGGCAGACAGGGTTCGTTTTACTCAGGATAACATACAATTTCGTAATTTACAATCATACCTTCGCCTGCGATGAGGTTGAATTTTGGGCCCTGGCTCCAGGGCTAAAAGCTGTTGAAGCTCGCGAGAAAATCATTGAACTGTAAGGTGAAGAAAGGTCGAAGTTAAACCCTTAATGACCTGCGTAGTTATCTCCAGAATTTTTAATAGCCAGTCCTGTGAAAACCTGTCTGGAATTATGGTAGACATCGATGTCAACATCCATGATTTAGTTAGACAAACCTCAACGATGATATGGACAATAGTCCAACTCGCCGGAGACGCTATTGAAGAAGTCGAGGAACAATACCAAGTATACTTTCACTCTTATTTTAAAAAGTTACTATTACTTTTACTAATTAATACTTACCCACATGCAATAGATAGCATTATTTCTATCAATTAATACTTACCAACATGTGCGAGGATGCCATGGCAAGACATATAGGAGAGCGTGGGTCAAAGAGTAACCGGTTCTGAACATTGTGGGTTTGATTCCAATCTGGGTCGGTTAATTTTCATTGCTCGGTGGGCCCGGCAAATGAATCTTGACATTCCCACTCAGATAAATAAGTACACGGTGGCAATCTCAAGGTAGCCACCAGGGGTTGGCAAAAAAGACCATTCAGGCCATCTGGGACTAATTGGTGTAGTTTTGTCGATTAGTTTTCCCGACCAATATCAGCACTAACATGTGTCCCGTTATATTTATATTAGGATTCCTTGACAAGGTTTTAGTTTGAAATTTTCAACAAATAAATATTTAAATTCCATTTCAGGAAATCCAAGACGATAAATATGACACAGAGGAAACACCTTTAATTCACATTTCATTTTTTTTTTGTGTATATTAGATGCAATTTTGCGAAAACTTGAATTTTGCATCTCAGTCACATGGCCTTATGGCCCCTCCAAATTAATTTATCGAGTTAAAACTTTTGTTGATGTGAGAACAGCTCCTTATAAGCTCTCAAATTTTTCTTCCACTTCCCTCTCCTTCCTGATATTTCGATAAATTAAATTTTAAAAAAGAGAAAACCAGTAATAGAATCCTTAACTTTAGTTCAAACCATCCCAAACATCAAACAATTAATACAACCAAGAACCTAATACACATATCAATAGAACTTACTGACAAACCTTACATTCCACAAGTACAAACAGAAATATACAAAATACTTGCCGAGAACTTTTACCCAGTAAACTTAATTAATAAACGTTGGTACAGTCGATTACATACAACACTGAACCATAATGAAAATAAAATCAAAAAAACAAACAATACAAAATATACCGAAAGAAAACATTACAATAAAGAAGCCTACACAACAATTCATCACCCAATTTTTTGAAGAAAAAAAACTAATCCTACAAATGAGAACAATCAGGACATGTCACAAACAAACAAAATGGACTTTAACTACTACTACAAAATGACATACATATCCGAACTTATTAACAAAATTAAAGACGTGTTCAAAAATTATGACAACAGAAATTAAACTTGGGCAATATAATAATAAAAAACTAAGCAGGCACATCACCAATACAAAAGATAAAAAAGACTTAATAAACTAGAAAAATGTAATATATAAATTAAATTTTCAAAACTGCCCCAAAATCTACATTGGTGAAACATCCAAGCAATTAGGGGACACATCACTAACTGTAAAAATATAAAAAACATATACACATCAGCTTTAGCACATCACAACATAAATTTAACTTCAATAAACCACAGATAATAGGCACAGAACCAAAAAAACACCAATAGGAAATTACTTGAAGCCATACACATCACAAAAAAACAATAGAACAACAGTAAATTATAAAACAGACACTAAACATTTAGGAACACATTATGCTGACATATTAAACAAAATTAAAATTTAATAAAAATGAAATTGCAGATACATAAAAAATAAACATTAACAACAATAGTATAAAAATAAACAGTCATATCCAAAGGTCAATTGTATTCACTATGGCAGACACCCAATAATTAGTCTAAAAGCAAGATGTTGCTCTAGATGTTATATACCTAGATTTATTATAACTTGAATTAGAAACTGACGATGGAGCACATTAGATTTTAAGGTAATTACAAATTTATTGTAACAACCCAATTCTGACATGTATTGTAACATGCACTATATTTTAACTCAAATTTTTTTAGCCATGTATCCACAAGATCATTGGGATTGTGGTTCTGAAGATGGGAGTAAATATCCCGAAACGTTAACTTGTAAACATGCAATTTGATAATACAACAAATAAATTCAATTGTTGTTAATTGGAAGTAATCATTGCCAAATAACAAAGAATATCATACAACTTCCCAGAAAAAAGAAGAGTATTTATATTAGGATTACTTGACAAAGTTTTAGTTTGGAATTTTCAACAAATAAATATCTAAATTCCATTTCAGGAAATCCAAGACGATAAATATGACACCGAGGAAACACCTTTAATTCATATTTAATTTTCTTTTATTTACTTTTTTTGTGTATATTAGATGCAATTTTGTGAAAACTTGAATTTTGCATCTCAGTCACATGGCTCTATGGCCCCTCCAAATTAATTTATCGAGTTAAAAATTTGTAAATTAAGTTGATGTGAGAACAGTTTCTTATAAGCTCTCAACTTTTTCTTCCACCTCCCTCTCCTTCCCGATATTTCAATAAATTACATTCCAAAATGTAACCAAAATAAAATATTCAAAAACAAAACATAAGAAAGATATTCAGCAACTTAAATGATTTAAAATTTATATTCAAATCCTTAGGTAAGTATTAATTCATAAAAATTTCAGAGATTGTGTGGGTTGGCGTCTAGACGGTTCCGTATAAATTTCATCACATTCCAACCTCGCCTTTAACTCCAAAACCATGCATCATAGTGAAAAACGTACTATTAAAAGAACGTTAAATTGTACGCTGAACTAGAACCTAAAATTAATAATCGTAGAAAATCAAGGTTGACAAACGCTGATTTTTACTAATGTAGACAAAAACTGAGACAAATTACTATAAATGGCTCTGCTGCTTGGAAATAAGTTCCTTAAGAGGAAAAACTCATAGAATAATATATGTATATAATTTTTACGTACTTACGAGAAATTATTTTATCTATCTACACTGAGATCTGAGTGGTCCTGTATTTCGATACTTCAGTAGAAAACTGTTTCCAACATGAATTATTAAAGTAAGTTATTCGACCGTTCTACATATCATGGGTGATAAATAGTCAGGACACAATCAGTTATCAAGATTTTTATTTTTACCAACATTTAAACCCAAACTTGTGGGTCATCATTATCATTAGGACATGTTATCAGCACTGTCAGGGTTCAAGGATTCAAGTAATCGAACACCTTCAGCACTAAAAATAAATAAAAGTCCTGAAAACTGACTGTGTTTAGAGTATTTATCAGCCATGGTTCCAATATGAGACTGGAAATATTCCATGTAGCTCTCAGCATCTCAAGCATATCCTTCATCAAAATAAAAAACTCTGGCAGCTCATGTCCTTGGACTCGCTATCAACCAATCAGTAAAAATCACCTGCGGTCCTATAAACTCTAATAGAAGTGTTCAGAGAAAATTCAAGTTGTGTCGTTGTCAGTTGTGAAATTAGAGCAAACAACACACGGGTTTCCTCAAGTTTTGCTTCAGTAAGTTTTCTCACCATTCTTCAAATGGAAATCGATAGCTGACTTGTAAGACCTATGAGTCATTTTCCGGTCACAATATCGAATCGCTTTCGATCTTGTCTTCTAAACTGTCAACCTATTTCTCAAAGAATCATCAAGCCTAACACTAATTATGGACGCGAATGCGATGTAAAAGCTTTCATACGATAGTAATAACTAAAGTCATTGATAAGAGTCACCAAACAATACTATGAAAGAGAAAAACATAGACCACTGTTGACTGAAAAAGAATGCAATGCGGGTAGTAAAGAAATCTCCCCATGCTAACGTTCGGTATTGAGGTGGCTCAAAAGATGAAATGAGGGATAATAAAAATCAACAAGGGATCATTGATACAAGCTTGCAATACAGTATTAGCTATAAGCGAATTTTTAAAGTAATAATGTGATGCCTTAACTTTGTCCAGCAGTTTATTTAATATAAAATTTGTTCCCTAAACCTTATGTCACTGTATTCTAACAAGTAGTTAAAAGAATTGTTTAAATTTATGAAACAAAAAAAAAAAAAAAAAAAAAAAATGGACAACATGTAGCATATAGAATCCATGATGTATTGAATTGAAGTAAAAAATAAATATGTCATAGCAAATAAAATTGGAACACTAATTCCTTAAGAAATGGACGTGTCGATTCATTGAACTCATAAGACATAATATCAAATACCAACATAAAGAAAAGTTGCATGTTAAAAATTGTTTTTTATCTTTTAAAATGGTAAAAATAATTAATGTTGTAATAGGCTGTACCTATGTCCCACTCGTTGTCATCGTACTCGAAGTTTGCCGTGGTCGGGTGGTTCTGGTTCGGAGCTGCCGAGGCGTCCCTCATTGGAGCGGCCATCGCCCCGCTCTGCCGCCCGCCGCTCCCTCGCCCCTCCCTCTCCGCATCTTAATGCAAAAACCTAAAAAATAAAACAATACGTCACCTTATACATAATATATATATATATCAATACATGAGAATTACATGAAACACATGATCCAATTTTTCTCTAAGAGTGGTCCTCCAACCACTCGTCACATCAATATAAATTGGAGAGGAGGCGGCCTCAAATCTTTACATTTTGACTACCCATTTGAATTTATTCAAGGTTATTTTATCTGTTGACATATTTCACTTATACTTATTATCCCTGATATAACATTTTCCACAATTACAAGATTGAAAAAGTAGCCTTATGTATATCGATGTGCCAAAGAAACATTTTATGTAATATTGAAGGAAGCTAGTCGACTGTTCTACATATAAAAATTTTTATTTCTGCCAACGTTTCAACCCAACATGTGGGTCATCATCAGGGCTGAAAATTTTAAAATACAATCAAATATATAATATTATGAGACCGATAATGATAACTAATAAACTATAGTGATTGATAATACATGAATCTTAACTATTATTACAATACACAATATTAAAAATGAAATATGTAATAAGTTATACAAACTAAAAACAATGTATATAATCCATTTATACAAATTTTGTAATATTTTCTCTTAATAACTGCTGTCCGAGCACTGAAGATATTCAAGTACTTGGTAGGTAAGTGAGAGGGTAGGGGGTCCCAGTTGTCCTTTTTCAGATAGCAAAAGGTAGGTAAACATAGTCAGAGGAGGGAGGGGAGGGAGGTAACATTTCTGTTTGTAGAATGTAAATAATTTGCTGACTAAATATTCAAGATGTGTACAAGATTTTCATTGTTTCTTATGGTTACAGAATTGTGACTATTGGCTAGTAATGAAATGAACATAAGCAAGAGGTGCCAATCAATATAAATATAACATAGTTTGATTGAAGGTATACAATGGTTAGCCAAATAATATTTATAATAAAGACAATTGTAATGGATTGAAAAGATAAGTAGGACAATATATTATACAGTATTTTAAAAATAACAATATTAATCATAATAGAAGTATGTATTATATTAAGGACTACATAGTTTATTTTTATATTTTAATAGGTTATTTTTTTCTAAATTGATTAATAGAGCTTCAGAAAGTAGTCGTTTTTGGTGATTGGGAACTGTGGCAAGTATGGTCGGGTTTTCAAAATCAAATGTGTGGTTGAGGATTATGGCGTGTTCGGCTAGTTTCGAGGTGAGCGAACTGCGCCCTGAATATTTATCTCCCATGATATGTAGAACAGTCGACTAGCTTCCTTCAATAATTCATTAAATCAATGGGACCATCTATCTACAACAAGAATACACGTCGTCGCTGAAATCCACATCACAGATCTGAATACTTCGAAAGTTGACAAAACCATCTTACAACACATATCAAGAAAAACATGTCATCCTGGCCCATCTCAAGCACTACACCGCTCGCACTCAGCTTATTTGCCATCTTCTTCTACAATTCATTCTACTCTCTCTCCAGATACTTCAAACACCAAAACAGAGGTAAACTGCTTCCCATTTCTCAAAACTACATACCCTTCTCAAAAATCTGTTATAAACTGTTTTTCCCTTTTACACAAAAAATTAGCACATAAAGAAAAATCTTTAATTTTTCTCCTAAAATGCAGATCTCACTCTTTATGTTTTATCACTAATAACATAAACAAAGTTAAAATTAATGATGACAAACGGACTATTTCCCGAACCCAAACATGCAATATTATCACCAACCATCTCTAATACCATCCCCTTTTTCATCACAATTTCAAAAAGATCTCTCCTCTACTCACTCCTTTCTAAACTCCCACAACGAAATCATTGTCCCTCGTGCAGACAAAGGTACAAAAAAAATCATTTGCACTCCTTTCCAACCAAACCACCTATCAAACCAAAAAACGTGACCCCACATCTCTCACAACCAACATCTAAAACAACTTCTCGATACTAAACAAATTAAAATCCCTACCTATAAAAATCTCATCTCCTAGAATTCCACTGCTCCCCGGTGCTACAGCTTATCGAAAATCGACCTATTATTCAAAACATTAACTCTGCATCTTCAAAACTCAGTAAATGTCTTCTCCCTACCATCCAGTCTCTCAGTCAAAACAATCCATATGACATTAAAAATTCCTTCCACCTATTAGATCAACTAAAATCCCTGAACATACCACCACATTTCAGCTTAGCCTCCCTTGATGCAGAAAGTCTCTTCACCAAAATCCCCACAGACCGCGCTCTACAAATAATTGAAGAAAATTGGTCTACCATAGAACCATTCACTTCCCATCAATCAATTCTCATTCCTTCAGTCTCTCTCTCTATGTTGTAACCCCGGCTACCTATATTCAAAACAAATTTTTTCATCAAACTTCCGGCTTGGCGAAGGGTAATTGCCTTGCACCAGACCTCTCCAGTATTGTCCTAAACAACCTAATTGATTCTGTACTACCCAAATTTCTCAATGATATTTTTTTCATTAAAAAATATGTTGATGGTCTTTTATTAATCCCCAACCCCCACGCTATTCCAAACATAAAAGAAGGAAATGGCCCGGGGTGGCAGTAATAATAGGCTAAATAGTGGTAAAACTATTTTATTAAAAGACACTGTTTCGACCCGACTTTGCAGGTCTTTGTCAGGGAGGTGTGTTCAGCTAGGAGTTTCACTTAGAACTCAACAGTTATAACTTTAACAGTCGGGTCAAAATGGTGGCTTTTAATAAAATAGTTTTACCACTATTTAGCGTATTATGACTGCCACCCCAGAACATCTCCTTCCTTTATAATGCAACGGTCAATTATTAAATATTCAATATTCCAAACATACTTTCTGCATTCAACACATTCAATGCATTCAACCCCCGACTCCATTTTACTATTGAAATAGAATCAAATAAATCCCTCCCATTTCTTGATCTCCTTATCTCCAGAAATACTGATAATACATTAACCACCAATTGGTACACCAAACCTACCTACTCCACCCGTCTCCTAAACTATTTTTCTCAACACCCTTACCAACAAAAAATCAGTATAGCAAAAAACCTGAAACAGCGCAGGTCTAACATCAACTGACCCGCAATTCCATGACAATAACCTAATTAAACTACACAACATCCAGAAATCCAATGCCTTTCCTGATCACATAATAAAAAACCTAATTAAAAATCAATCCGAACCTCGTCTTCACCAGTCTCCCTCAAACTGATCTGAACCTCCCACCACGATTAGCCAATACAGATCCATTCCATACATCCTAGTCCTATCTCAAAAAATCAAAAAAGCTTTAACTTCCAAATTCCCCCATCTACAAATAGTTTTCAAAAATAACAATAAATTAAGAAATCTACACCTGGCGAGCTGGCTGAAATTAGAATCCATTTTTTCTCTACGAAATTGTGTTTCTTTGTTTGATTCGATTTGACTTGTTGGAACACAAGAGCAATTTGTACAAGATATACTCTTGAAATTTGCTATGATCCCTATACGACAGAATAAATGTCCTTTATGAAGCTGGACGAGGAGTCATTTGAATGTGATTTTAAAAAAATTCAGATACAAAATAGTATCAGTTACATTGATATATAGTGAATTCTTGTAACATGATGAACCGTGGGTTGAACCTAGCAGTTGAGTCCACGAATCTGAAACGGGCCCACTCAACTTTGTTTTCATACATTCCATGACTTTACATTTTCTGATTAGAATAATTGTATCTTTATTTCCTTAAAAAATTCCTAAATAATGATTTTATGAATGATGAATTTCTTAATGAATCGTAAAAAAAAAAAACATGTAAAAATAGTGAAATAATCGACATGATCAATATGAAAAAATATAAGAAACTCTTTGATAATAGGATTAAACAAAAGTTGCTGGAGGGAGGGGACCTCCAGACTTGCTGGAGGGAGGGGACCTCCAGACTTGCTGGAGGGAGGGGACCTCCAGACTTGCTGGAGGGAGGGGACCTCAAGACTTGCTGGAGGGAGTTGACCTCCTGACTTGCTGGAGGGAGGGGACCTCCAGACTTGCTGGAGGGAGGGGACCTCCAGACTTGCTGGAGGGAGGGGACCTCCAGACTTGCTGGAGGGAGGGGACCTCCAGACTTCCTGTAGGTAGGGGCCCACCAGACTTCCTGAAGGGTGTGACGTAGGATTAAATGCCCTACTCACATATCTTTATTTCACCAAACACCACAGATAGTCCTGAATCTCCCTAAGGTAAAACGCTCATTATCCGGAGGTAATCTAGTCCCCCGTTCGGGTCTCCCGGTGGGGACTGCTTTTGGGGATTCATGGTGCAAGTTGAAATATAGGGATTTAAATATTGGTACGTGGAACGTAAGGAGTTTAAATACATCAGGGGGGGGCTAAAATCGGTCGCGAATGAGGTTAATAGGTACAATTTGGATGTCGTGGCTCTGCAAGAGGTGCGCTGGCCAGGGGAGGGCTCGATGAGGTAAGGAAAGTACACAGAGGAAGCGGGAATCATTGTTTAGGTACCGGGTTTCTAATTAGGTGTAGGTTACTATCCGCTTTGAGGGACTTTCCAATCTTTAGTGATAGAATTTCGGTAGCTATATTTCAGGGACGTTGGTTTAAAATTGCATTAATAAACATACATTGTCCGACCGAAGACAGTGACGATGAAGTCAAAAGTGAACTTCACGATAAACTCGAATGGGTTTATGATAAACTACAGTGAAACTACATGAAAATAATTGTAGGTGACGCGAACGCAAAGGTAAGAAGGGAAGAATTTTATATTCCGACGATTGGTAAAGAAAGTTTGCACGAATACAGTAATGATAATGGGATCCGTCTGATAAACTTTGCCATCTCGAAAAACCTGATAATTAAAAGTACGACGTTTAAACATAAGGATATTCATAAATATACTTGGACATCACCGGATTCGAAAACATGAAATCAAATCGA